GGTTCGTTAACAGGTCCATCTGGTTTACTTTTCATGATAGACCTGTCTTCCAGAAATGGCCACAAAAGTACTTCCGTCTCACAAGCTCTTCCAGAACCTTGGTGTTATTTTCCCTCTCCCTGATCTGCCTCGTCTGTGAAGTGATGCTCTGTGACCTCGGAGCCTGGGTCATAAAAGGAGACTCAGCCTCAGCTGACACTGCTAGGGGCAGAGACAAACTTTCCCCACTGACTGCAGATTCCTGAGCAAACTCCACGTACACGCTCGTTGGTCGGAGCAACTACACTGTGGGACGGTTCATCTGGGGACGTTCATCAACCCTTGCCCTGGACGGAGAGGTTTCCCGCGATGCGTGGCTTTGGGCACACTGGGCTGGTTGGTAACTCTCACCTTCTCCTTGTTAAGAATGTACATACTCCGCTGACCTCTCCCGTTCTGTTTATGAGTTGTGTGGGGTTTTTTTTCGTTTGTCTTTGTTGTCTGTCGTTTTAAGCGTAACGTTCCTGAGACAGAGAGAATGCAGACCTCCACGCGCTGAACGACGTGCTGGTAGTATTTGTTTCCTGGCTGAATTTCACTCCCATCCCCCTCTGGAAACACCGGGGTCTAAGCGGCCAATCCACGAACTGAGACGTGGAGATGGGAGCCCCAGGTCAGGGGAGGGTGGCCTTGTGCTTTCAGTCTCAGGGCGGCTGCACTAGGGTTTCCTCTGCCTGCAATCCTCACACTCCACTCTTTTTATTTCTTTGAATGATCGGATTTACTTATTTCCCGATGGCCTCTCCCACTGGAATATGAGCCCCCAGAGGCAGGGGCAGCGCCTGTATCCAGACTGCTCTTGGTAGTGTCTTCAGCACTTACTGCCTGGCCCAGAGGAGGTCCTCAAATATTTTATTTATTTGTTTTTTTTTTAATTAATTAATTAATTTATTTATTTTTGGCTGTGTTGGGTCTTCATTTTTGTGCGAGGGTTTTCTCTAGTTGCAGCGAGCGGGGGCCACTCTTCATCGCGGTGTGCGGGCCTCTCACTGTCGCGGCCTCTCTTGTTGCGGAGCACAGGCTCCAGACGCGCAGGCTCAGTAGTTGTGGCTCATGGGCCCAGTTGCTCCGTGGCACGTGGGATCCTCCCAGACCAGGGCTCGAACCCGTGCCCACTGCATTGGCAAGTTGATTCTCAACCACTGCGCCACCAGGGAAGCCCCTATTTGTTTGTTTATTTGTTTGTTTTACATGCTGCAAGAATAAATGAGCTGGAGGTTATCCGGGTCCATTCCCCACTGCAGAGGAATTTCCTCCCTGTAGCCCAGGTGAGAATCACCTCATTAACACCTTGGAGATGGAGAGCGCCCTGCCCCGCAGAGCAGCCTGTCCCATTCCATCTTTTGTTCAGCTTCAATGCGATATGAAGAAGCATCTCTCCATAACTGTTAACGATTGCTCTTGAGGGCTTCATTAACTTGACTGCCCCCTGGAAGGAAAGTTCGAGGTCACCCATATCCCGCCTCCTGGGACGAGGCCCCAGGCAAGTCTCTCGCCCTTTCTGGACCTTTGTGCCTTTGTGCAAACCGGAGCAGCTTACACTGCTGCTTACACAGAGCAGTACACTGAGGACAGCCATCAATCCGAAGGGATTCTGAACATTTGTCAAAGCTGAGAAAGAATTCATCTTCGTGTTTCATGTATGACGCTGGAAAATGCTGAAGAAGGGACATCTAACCCGACTCCTGTGCTCACTTTGGTGTGTCGGGATTGGGGTGCTGTCTCTCTGATCCCCTGTTGAGAGACATTGTAAAGGACCTTCTCCAATCCTGGACTAGAAATGTGATGGGCAGCTGGCTCACAGATTAGAATCGTCCAGGGCAGTGGCTCCACTTTAGGAAGCTGCATGTCCTTCCCGCTCCAGGCGGGCGCATCAGGTCCTGCCTCTGGCTGTGGGGACAGGAGCGTGGTGGCCCTGGGGGCAGGGGCAGCCCTGGGAATGGGGGGCGTGGTCTCTCCTCCTGGCCTGTGAGGCCCTGCAGAGAGGGTCCTGTTCGGCAGAAGCACGCACTCAGGTGTGGCTTCAATCAAAAACACAAAGGACTCCCCTGGTGGCGCAGTGGTTAAGAATCCGCCTGCCAATGCAGGGGACACGGGTTCAAGCCCTGGTCTGGGAAGATCCCACATGCCGCAGAGCAACTAAGCCCATGCACCACAACTGCTGAGCCTGTGCTCTAGAGTCCGTGAGCCACAACTGCTGAGCCTGTGAGCCACCACTACTGAAGCCCGCGCACCTAGAGCCCGTGCTCCGCAGCAAGGGAAGCCACTGCAGTGAGAAGTCTGCACACCGCAGCGAAGAGTAGCCTCCGCTCGCCACAACTAGAGAAAGCCCTGCACAGCAACGAAGACCCGATGCAGCCAAAAATAAATAAATTAAATAAATAAATTTATTAAAAAAACCACACACAAACAAGATGACGCCTCGAAGGTCAGCCCCATGGTGGCTATTTTGTCTTGGAATTGGCAGGAGTTGTCCTGCCTGGTGCTGCTTTGTCTTTGTGGCTTAAATAACAGTGAAGACAGCTCAGCTCTAGGCAAAAACAAACAAAAACAAAAAACAACACCTCCTGGACACTAAGAAATTACGTTTTACCCCAAGTCCTTAACAAGGATGGAGAAAATCTCAGAATGAAATCCAGAGCTTCCTGAGGTACCCCCTCTCCCCTCAGTACCTATGGGCACAGCCTCAGCCTCGTCATTTTACTTCACCCAGTGAACCAGCCTCTACTTTGCAAAGGAATCTGAGGGAAAGTCTTCTGCCAAGTCCCAACTGAGTCCCTGTGACAGTCAAGAACCTGGGCCAGGTTCTTGTGTAGGTTAAGGAAGCCTGAGAATGATAAAGATTATAGGGAAACAGTCTACCTTTCTTTACAAGGTCTTGTTTTGCATCTCTGACATCTCAGATTCAGCTATTACAATGAGGTCCTGTTGTAGAAAGAGCTGGCCTTTTATCACCACTTAAAATCTAATTAATCCATATTGAAGCACAAAGATTTCTGTTGTATTTTAGGGTGAGGGGTCATAGAGCGCTCTTTGTTCATCCTTAGACTTATATAATCATCAGGCATTGGGGATATAATTTTACCAAGCAAATTGGAAGGTAACAGATCAAATCCTTATCAGAAAGCCCAACTCATAGTTTTAACAGAGTCCTTCGTCCTTTACATGAAACATTATATTCAAGAAGAACAAAAACGCATTTCAGAGTGCCCAAAGAGTTAACGACCAAAACTTATATTCCCCAGGCAGCATCAAACCAAGATTGTCACACTACTGTCCACCACAAGACAGCAGCTCCTATAGAGGTGGCAAGGGTCCTAAGATTTGTTGCAATGGCTTTAGTCTTTAGAGTAGCAATGCAATTCGTTGGAATTTTGCTATCTCTGCTGGGATGGGTTTTATCCATTATTACAACTTTTTTGCCACATTGGAAAAACCTCAACCTGGACTTAAATGAAATGGAAAACTGGACCGTGGGACTCTGGCAGACCTGCGTCACCCAAGAGGAAGTGGGGATGCAATGCAAGGACTTTGATTCTTTCCTGGCTTTGCCCGCTGAGCTCAGGATCTCCAGGATTTTAATGTTCCTCTCAAACGGCCTGGGATTCCTAGGCCTGCTGGTCTCGGGGTTTGGCCTGGACTGCTTGAGAATTGGAGAGAGACAGCAGGATGTCAAGAAGCAGCTGTTAATCCTGGGAGGAATTCTGTTCTGGACAGCAGGTGTCACAGCCCTTGTTCCTGTCTCTTGGGTCGCCCACAGGACAGTCCAAGAGTTCTGGGATGAGACCATCCCCGAGATTGTGCCCAGGTGGGAGTTTGGGGAGGCCCTCTTTATTGGCTGGTTTGCTGGATTTTCTCTTCTGCTCGGAGGGTGTCTGCTAAACTGGGCCGCCTGCGGTACCCAGATTCCCCTGGCTTCCGGCCACTATGCAGTGGCAGAAATGCAAACTCAGTGTTCATACCTGGAGAATGGAACTGCCAATCCTTCAGTGTAAGACTTTGATGAGACCAGAGAGGTGCATCTCCCTATATCAACTGTGACGGTCTACATGATAAAGGGTTCTTTGTTATGTAACTATGTTTGTGATGCTAACATTTTCTCATTAAATACATTAAATCATGACTTTTCTATCCTAGATACCCCATCCCCCCAAAACCTGGAGAAGTAAGAAAGAGGCAAATCTTATATCTAAAGGAAAATGATTGTGGTAAGCATTACATAGGAATGAACAAAACAAACCTTCATTCATCTGGGTGTTGAGATCAAACTTTGGTGGTGGTTGTCCAAGAGAGCACTAATTAGCTTTACTGTGTTCATTTGATATTAGAAATGTTTTTTTGGTTTTGTTGGTAGCTGAAATTGATAATTAGTTCCTGTTTCCTAAAGAAAAAAACCTAACAATCTGAAATCCTTTAAGCATTCTGCACCAGCAAAACCACATGCTCAGCCTATCCAAAGTGCTATTTCCACAACCATGATTTGGTCTTTCTTGAACAGAGGTGGTTTGTGTTCAGGAAATTGCTAGGAAGCCTGTGCGGCAGGACTTTAGGAGGCTGAAGGGTTTCAGTACATTGTGATACTCTCAGATTTAAAATACTGGCCAATCTCTTCTCGTCTCTTCCCTCAAAAGCTTCGTACTTTAAAAAGATAAACAGTTCCAAAAATATTTTGCTTAATATCCACCTCATCTGCCCTAATAAAAATTTTCCTTTGTTCAGTTAAAAGTTCCACGCATGGGGATGAACCAACAGAGGCGTTGATTCTAACCTACGCAGTCCTACTGCTTAATTTTTCCACGGCATAGAAAGCATATTTAAGCAAAGAAACAAAAATATAGCAAGCATTGATGTCCCTGTGTGTGAAGCTGTCAGGAAGGCGTGGAAGTAAACAGACTCGATATTTAGTTCAGAGTCGTTTCATATGTTATTGGGTATATGTAGCCTAAGAGATTAAAAAAAGAAAAGAAAAGCCTGATTTAAGGTCTACAGAAGAGATTTCTGAGATTGATTTATTTGGTTAAGAAATACTTTTCTTGAACCTGTTTTTAAAAATGATAACACTCAGTTATAACCACAGTATGCATATTGAAATGAGACCTCTTAACAGATGAAAATCTGACAGGTGCAACTAGTAAGGTATAAAGTAGCAGGAGTTGAACCAAACTGTCAATTAAACATCTTGCACGGAGACTTCTTAATTCTTTGACTTGACAGAAAGGTTGGGAACAACATGAAAGCCATTTATACTTTAACAATGAGAGGATTATTACTACTTAATGTTATTTCGGGGACAAACTGCCTACTACAAAATGCATCCTATAGGACGTGAACGTGATCTTGGCCACACCTTGTCATTACTGGTTTGCAGAATTATTTCCCTATCCTTTTCTGAAAACTATTCAACATAGAATTGAACGATAGCAACTCTGGCAAGAATCCTCCTATATACACAATGAAAAAATAGTTCTGAGCTCTGCAAGTGATAACACAAGTGTCACACTTCTTTTCACAGCCACTGAAAGGCAGGGGTTGGTCTGGCTAAGGTCACAGGATTTTATAATGGCTTTAGTATTTAGAGCTGTGGCACAATTAGCGGGAATTTCACTATCTTTGCTGGGATGGGTTTTATCCTGTCTTACAAACTACCTGCCACATGGAAAAATCTCAACCTGGACTTAAATGAAATGGAAAACTTGACCATGGGACTCTGGCAGACCTGCGTCACCCAAGAGGAAGTGGGGATGCAATTCTATCCTGGCTTTGCCCGCTGAGCTCAGGATCTCCAGGATTTTAATGTTCCTCTCAAACGGCCTGGGATTCCTGGGCCTGCTGGTCTCGGGGTTTGGCCTGGACTGCTTGAGAATTGGAGAGAGACAGCAGGATGTCAAGAAGCAGCTGTTAATCCTGGGAGGAATTCTGTTCTGGACAGCAGGCGTCACAGCCCTTGTTCCTGTCTCTTGGGTCGCCCACAGGACAGTCCAGGAGTTCTGGGATGAGACCATCCCTGAGACTGTGCCCAGGTGGGAGTTTGGGGAGGCCCTCTTTATTGGCTGGTTTGCTGGATTTTCTCTCCTGCTCGGAGGGTGTCTGCTAAACTGGGCCGCCTGGGCCCTGGCTTCCGGCCACTATGCAGTGGCAGAAACGCCGCCACACCGTCTACACCTGGAGATGAAAACCACTCACCTGAAACTAAGCCAGAAGGGATCAGCGGTGCCCTCAGATGATTTGGTAGGATTTCCTGTTACACAGTAACCCATTCACCATGCTTTCGATTTTCTAAAATGCATTTTCCCTTCGCTTCTGAAACTGGCATTTCTTTCTAAGATGGTAAACCACTTTTATCTTCTACTCTGAGACCAAAACCAATCAAGACTTAACAGTAATCATACTCATTACTGGGGATGAGTTTTCTCAATTTTAAAATAGATTCAGTGATTGCACAGAACCGGTGAATAAAACATTGTGTTAGTACCTACACATCTTCTGAAGGTGTTATTTAATAAAGATGAATCATTTGGCAATTGGAAATGGTACTGCTGATCACTGACTTCTTTCAAGGGTCTAAGATCACCTATTACACTGAAACTAAAGTCTGGCTGTTATTTTTTTTAAAAGGTATGACATCTGATTATATTAAAAAAAATCGCTGGCTCTCTGAAAGCTTGAGAGGTGCACACTGGGGACACATCATCTCTTTTTAAATTGGAGACCTCAGGGCCTCTATGGAGACGCTTCCATTCATTCACGTCTTCTCTACTGTGTCAGAAGCAGAGGAGGGCAGTCTTGTGTTTTAAAGATTCATGTAAAATCTACCGCACCAACGTCCTTTTGCTTGTGTCCTGTGCTCTGCGGTAGATGCTGCAGCCACAAGGCGACTGTGGGTTGGGACTGGGGGGCGTGGGCAGATGCCCCCACCCCCTTTAACAAAAAAATCAGCAATATATATGGGCCAACCAAGAACTATTCACAGCAAGCTGCTGGCTTGGGGAGTTTTTTAATTTATTTATTTTATTATTTTATTTTGTTGGTTTTTGGCTGCATTGGGTCTTCGTTGCTGTGCGCGGGCTTTCTCTAGTTGCGGCGAGTGGGGGCTACTCTTCGTTGCGGTGTGCGGGCTTCTCATTGCGGTGGCTTCTCTTGTTGCAGAGCACGGGCTCTAGGCGCTTGGGCTTCAGTAGTTGTGGCACGGGGCCTCAGCAGTTGTGGGTCACGGGCTCTAGAGCGCAGGCTCAGTAGTTGTGGTGCACAGGCTCAGTTGCTCCGTGGCACGTGGGATCTTCCTGGACCAGGGCTCGAACCCGTGTGCCCTGCATTGGCAGGTGGATTCTTAACCACTGCACCACCAGGGAAGCCACCAAACTTGGGGAATTCTTCATGAAAGATTTTATATTTGTTTGGTATATAGTTCAAGTAAACTTTTGTGTTTGTGCCAGTCAGGGAAATTCACTGAACAATAAATGACACTGAAATAAAGTATTAGGTAATATGTATCTTTGTTTTAAAAAGAAAACACTGAATTTTTTTCCACCCACAAACACATGAAAAGTGCAGAAACCAGAGTTAATCTATGTGATGTATTTGCATACTTTTACAAACAAGACAAATTAAAACAGAAACATATTCAGAATTTAACCTGATTAAATATTTAGTTCAGTCCTGAGCTTTTGATATTTAATACAATATAAAGTAATAGCAAAAAAAAGATTTTAAATTTATTTGATTTGCATGCTACAGAGATCCAGCTAAACTTTGTTCATTGGCTAGCAATATTCTTTTTGTACCTGTAACACTTAGATTCTGATATACAAAATTGTAATAACATACTGATAATTCAAACTTGAGAACTAAATATTACATTCTTTTTACCCTGTGAAGAATAAATTCTACCTTTAAAAAATAGTACTCATAATATTAAAATTCATGTTGTCCATATGGTTTTGTGAGCAAGTTATTAAAATGTTTTGTCACTGTGAATCATTTGGGTTAGTACAAATATGACAGGATTGTTAAAAGCTGCCTATAAATACATAACACTATTGCTGATTTTTAAAGAGTGAAAAAGGATTATATTAAGTTTGTCTCTCATGTTAGAAATGAGCAAATGCTGTAAGATAAAACCAAAAGCATCTTGGTCACAACTGCTAACTACCAGCCTGAGACAGATTTTATTCTTATATGCTTGTCTGAAACTCTTTGTCGTACAAAAAGTTAACAGCTAATCTGATGGAATTTATAAAGCTGTAAATATTCCAATATAGCCTCTTCTGTGTCAAACATTTAAGATGGCCAGAACCGAACTATATATTAAACAGAACATAAATAAGACCGTAAATAAATAAATGAAGAAAATAAAATCGTACGGTACAACCACACATAATCCTATAAACATTTTCATGGTCAAACTAAGAAGCTGAAAACAGCTGACCTTCATTTAACTCTACATTAAATAAACTTCTGTTTTTCACATTTGACCTCGACAAGGATGAACGGTGCTCTTCCTCCAGTTCTCCTTGGTCACCTAACAGGATGAACTGGGCCGCCTGCAAGGACTGTGCTCAGTCAATTCACGAGGCTGGTTTTTGTTCAAAGTAGTGTCACGTCCAGTTATTCCTTCAAAGACTTTTGTATATAAATGGTGGGACACTTAGGAAAAAGTCATTACAGTTCTAGGCTCAGAAATGGCTTGATCTGAATTTTGATTCTGATAAAATGAACCTTCCAAAACATGTGTAATTACTTTCAAATAAATATTCTTACCAACGAGGATTCTAGCTTAGGAATAGAACTTGTGTTTCTTTTTTTTAAGGGGCCCATTCCTTTAAGATGATGTTTCATCTCTAAAAAAAAAAAAATGATTTCACTTGTTACATAAGATGGCTCACCAAACACTGCCTCTTCCAGTATTACAGACCAAGTAACATGCATGATTTAATTTGCATAAAACTATTTCTTTTAAAAGCCTTTTATGCTGGCAGAGCTGACCTGGGGATTTGTTTCTTTTAAGAAGTGCTTGGGTTGGGTGAGCTAAAATTCTCCACTGGAGGAAACTTTAGTCAGTTTCCATCTTGTTTGTCTGGAATATATATTTATTTATATTTTACAAATGACGCAGCTTTTACTTCAAACTAATAATCTCCCCAGGCACTCTCTTCTCTTTGCCTCCCAACTCCTCACCACAAGTTACAGATAGGATGCCCTAAAAATGACAGCTGCAAAGTAATTTCTAGTAAATGTCAGAGATCTGTTTACTGATGTATTTAAAATTTTTTTGGCAATCTTGATTCCATCGAGGTACCCTTTCCTCTGTTCCTGGTTTCAGCAAGTGATGCTAATGTGTTTCCCTCCACAGTACCAGCACTGTGTGTCCTCAGCACCCTGGCCCCTACCTTCACCCACCTGGTACCATCCTCACACCTAGGACGAAGCATGACTGGTGCAAGCCAGACACTCACGTCTGAACACTGACGCACAATCAGCCTGAGTGAGAAGCAGCAGCTGCTCACTGACGTGCTGATTTTAGTGTATTTGAGGCGGACTGGCTTTCTGCTTTCATCTCCCTACCCTTAAAGTCCTAAATCATGGGGTCTGTAGTGTGGCTGGAGCACTGCTCCTTTGCATTCTTGCCTTCCTGCACTCAGCATTTTGTTTTTGTTTTCTTTAGACAAATAGAAAAGGACAAAAAAAGGCAGTTGTTTTAAGGAAACAAAGTGTTCCGACAGAGGTGACGGAAATGAACGCAGCACCTGTTTCAGGTGGACCCGGGACTCTGCACTGAAGCTCACGCTCAAGTTCAACCTCACGCCGAACGAGCTGCCCTCTGGCACCAAGTATCACCCGGCACCACCGCCGGCTTCATAGTCACCCATGGGAAAACAAAGGAAAAGCGAAAACCACATGCTGCTCAGCTGAGTTATTTCTCCACAGCCGGTCCAATAGGATGCGTGCTGGGTCTCGCCTCTATTCCATTTTTACCAAATAAAGCCCATTGGCAACACACGTATACTGTACATCTGCTACCAGATGATCCTGTTTTGGTTATCTGATTTTTTTTTTCTTTTTTAAACACGTAAGAATTACATTCAAGGTACTTTACAAATTAACATGTTGAAAATCTGATGTGAAATAAAAGCTCTTTAAGAATTGACAGTTATATTACAAAAAACCCCCCAAAACAAAAACCAAAACCCCAAACAAGAAAACGTTCAGTCTTTTGCCCTCCCTAAGAAATGAAGAGGTGAAAACACGATCTCGTCAGCGATGTAATCAGACGTCATCAGCCGGCAGGGACGGGATGCTTATCTTTGCTCTGGTGAAGTAGGCAATCTTCTCCCTACAGCCGGGGTGAGGAATACACCGACTTCAATAGGATGTTGAAAATGCTCTATGCCCGTTAAAAATAGTCCCAAGAACGTCAGCGCTGTCTCCACAGGCCTGGATGGGAGATCTTGTCCTTAGCTAGAGCTCCATTTAAAATCAAGACTGTCTTCGCCTTTTTACGGAAGGACATAAAGGAGAACGGCAGCTCTGACCCACGGTAACCACCGGTCGACACAGGCATTTCCAACCTCAGACAGGTTTTAAACCACTGGGGTGGGGGTGTGGAGGGAGCGTGTCAGTCTAGGTCTGAGCATTTCTAGACCAGGGAGTAGAGGATTCTAGGGGCCAGAGTCCTCGCAGGAAAGTACACGATCCGGGGAGAATTCTTTAAACTCAGTACCATGCTAAGGTAAGGGCACAATAATGAGTGATGGATACCGGGGCTCAGATGAGGCAAGAGAAGGAGCCTGGCCGTCTTAAAGGCAGATCTGCCGCAGCCCGACGCGGGGATAAGTGGAAACAACCTGAGAGGGAGAGGCTGAGAAAGAAGGGGCGGGAGGGTTTTCAGAGCTTAGCAGAGTGTCAAGAAAGTAAGGTTTTAGGGTTGCAGAGCCGCCAAGGGCAGGACCAGTACGTCCAGCCTCTAAGAAGCCTTCACATCGAACACTCTCCCCTCAACACAGGCTGCTGAGGGGCTTCCCCACGTGGGGCCACACGGGAAGCCCTAAGGAGGAATAAAGCACTGGCCCTCCTTCGAGAAACTGGGGGTGAGACGGTGCAGGAGCGTGGGGTTATGATGCAGGAACTGAGGCGGAAAAGCTCTACCTCTAAGGAAAGGAGAGAGAAGGAGGGAAGCATGAAAACCCTGGGCAAGGTGGAAGGAGAGTTATTTTTGTGCTACAGCGTCCTTTCCGTTTGCTCAATTCTATGAGATAAAATTAAGAATTAAAGGGGCGAGTGAAAGTAGTCAGGATATCACTGAAGGCAGAACCCGAAACTGGGGTCTTTGCTTCATCACTTCCCGCAAGCGAATTACTTTGGCTCACGCGGTGCTTTTTAAACACACAAACTAGCTGTCAGTGTCTACGCTTGAGATGTTTCACATAAAATTCCTGGTTTCTACCTTCCCTCAGCAAATCGGAAGAGCAGGGAGCCCTGGGCTTTGAGAGAGCAGCTCAGGGAGAGTGTCCCAGGCCTTGGCGCGCTTCCAGAGCCGCTGCCGTGTCCCGGTCCGTCTCCCTCTCCTCCATCACCTGTCTGGTGATAGGCCTGGCTTTGGGTGCTAAGCGAGTGTTTATAAACATTTATTTCGGGTTTTAGCAGCAGCGGAGGTTGGATGACTTCTCCTCTGGACAGTGTTTCTTGCACCAAAGGCACGAGAGGATTCCCCACACCACCCTGCAGTTCTAGAAATCCAAGGAGCAGTATCCTCTGAAAGTTACAAGAGTGACCCTGGAGCTGAATGGAGACAGGAAAAAGCTGACTCTTTACTATAAGCCATCACGTTAAAGAGAGTCTGAGCCTGCCATGACCCGTCTCCTTCCCCCGCACCCGACTCACTCAGGACAGCAGGAACTCCCACTGCGTCCTCTGGCACCAAACCCATCCCTTCCTAACGAGCCCTCTCCACCCCATATCGTCAGACGTGCTCCTTGGGCTTCTACCTCTTCAGACCAAGAGCCTCCTACAGACTCCTCCACAGCACACACACACACACACACACACACACACACCA